AATTGGAGAAGAAGGTGATGTTTGGTGCCACAGAGCATTCAAGTTATTTCAGTGATAACTTTGATAGAGGTGGAAGAATTATGTTTTATTTAATGTCGACACAAGGGGTCAAAGGGAAAATCGGCATCTGAATAGTTTCTGCCAAGTTGTAATTATTATACAAAACAACCTGTGAAAAATATTTTGTTAATTAATCAAAAATTTAAATGATTGTTGCATCGGTTAACTAGAGTATTGATGAGTTTATATTCAAGTTAGCTTACAAATAAAAATATATCAACCCCACTGAAGGTTTTGTTTTCAGCTTGTAGAATGCTGCACCTTATCCCTCCTCTTTTCTGACTTGTTTTCTTCAGGATGAAAACAAGCAGCTTCCATCATCTGTGCCAAAGAAGCAGTCAAGGCCCAAGCTGTCAGCGGGCAAGGACAGGAGTGTGGACTCGGCTGTGGACAAGCAGCGACAAGAAGCCAGGAAACGGCTGATGGCAGCAAAGCGTGCGGCGTCAGTACGACAGAACTCCGCCACAGAAAGCGCTGACAGCATCGAAATCTACGTCCCCGAGGCCCAAACCCGCCTCTGAGGGTGAACCAGCACCAATGATCGAGGAATATCATGACTCACTTTAAACATTCATTGACACAAACACACAAACAGATCTGAGACAAACACGCAGACATACAACGGATGCACAGAGGCAATCCCTCATAGCAGAGCAGCTCTTGATGGAAGAAACTTTGGGATCACACGGAAACAATCCATAAAAATACAGATCGGACAGAAATAACATTGACAGATGTTTAATACTATTGTTATTATTGTTATTATTAATGATTATTATCTCCTAAAGTATATCAAGACTGTCTTAAATGTGCAAGGACATCCTGTACTTTGTGAGCTGAAGAAACTTGGTAACCCAGACGTTTACTCTCTTAAAACTCCCTTCACTGCTGAGTCTACCGGCAAGTTGTGGCTGCCTGGTTTACGAGCCGCGCTACCATCCACACACACTCAGGACACACATGCAGGTGTACTCACTGTCCACAGAGTCTTCCTGTTCTCTGTTTGTATTAGGCTGCCCCTCGTTGGGTGTGGTGTGTACGCTTTACTCTGTAAGAATTATAAGATGGCGATAATGTACTCAGAGGTTTAAAAATGCAGAGAACCAGAGGAAGGCAGTAGCATATATATTAAAAATATCACACTACTACAATGTTCATTTTGTAAATGTTGTATACCAGATTATTTGTTAGAAAGAGGTCAGTGTTCAGTACCAAGGTAGTTTTTTATAGATCGAGTACATGTACTGTCATGATATATTAGCACTTGATGCAATCATTCACTCCACCTCTCTCTGTTTTCCTCCTCTTCACAAACACACACTGCACAGTCTGTGTCTGTGAACACCCATTGTTAAAGTCTTACATTTGTTTGTTTTTGTGAAGCGATGCGAGGACCGACTGTCCAACCAGTGAGCTACAGAGGAATGTATGACATGTATGCATTTACGGCTCATGTTGACTTGATCACTGCACTTTCCATTCACCTCAGATCAAGTTCGCCCTCCTTTTGTTTGCCTGATAATTCTGACACTCACTGCATCCTCGTGTGATGCAGGGGACCAAGACTCACCACTTGATATGGCATTCCCATTCAACCAGACTATGTGTGATTGGGTGGGGGTTTTCTTGCTACTGGAAAGGAAATGGAATAACAAAGCAATAATCAAGATAGAACAAGCAATGCAGTAGGTACCCAGTCTTAAATTATTTAATTAAACTTCTTAGCATGAAGGATGAATGTTTATTTCTTTTCTGAACTCACTGTCCTTGGAGAAAAACCAAATCTCAGGTCTTAAACACTCGCCAGTGAAAACCACTATGAATTGATTATTTATTCTGTAACCTCAAATGAACTGGCTACACGCTCAGAGCCGTTGCCAAATTTTTCTAATCCAGACCTACTCAGTGTTCTCGAGGAAGAAAAGTAAGTTCACCCAAGGTTTGGTTCAGTGAAGCACAGGCGTAATTTGAATGCTCAAATCAGCCGCCTCCTTCACTCTCCTTTCTAGCAGCTTGAACTCCCACCCGTTTGTTGACAATGAATAACTGTGGTACATTTCTAATTTAAATTTTAATGTCATTTGACGCCTTTTGTGACTTTCATCGGAAATGAGGTGAACCCAAATAATGTCTTGACTTCTGTAATTATAAAAGTTAATGGTGCTGCGAGGGTATCGTATCGTGCCAAGACAACAATGATCATCAACATTTCAGTGTCATTTGATACAACCTTTATTTAACGTGATTATTTTATTTAATCTGCTCATGAGTTCAACTGTGTGTGTGTGCATTCTCAGCTAAGTTTGTTTGTGTTTGCATCAGCTCACTCCACATATGCCATGCCAACACGTTGAGCATGGGACCGGTATAGTTTCCATGTTTCTGTTTTCTTTCTCACAAACACAAGTGCCAAAGGAACACGAGTGGAACAAGGCATAGCAATCGTAGGTTGACTCACTAGTTTTTTCATCTTTTTTTAGTAAGAGCTGGCTCTCCCCCTACTGGTCAGTCCTTGCGTGACACTCCAGACATCTTATGCTCCATTTTGAATCCTTAATTTACATCAGACAAAAAATCAAGTTGAGCTGGGAATGCTGACACAATACCAAGTTGTTGATTTTATTATTCTCTTATTTGTATTACATCAACAGTGGACATGTGCATTTCATTGTCCAAAGAAATCATTAAACATCCCTTTGCTACATGTCCTGGTCATCATTCTTGCTGTCGTTTTTATTGCACTCATCCACATTATGACGGTAATATTAACTGCTGAGTTAATATTACACACAAATAAATCATTAGCTTTAGACGTGTTGTCATTAATGTGTAATCTCTAAAAGCATGGCCTTCTTACATATAAAAATACACTTAGATCCTTGCTGGTGAATTTTCAGTACTCCTTTAAATGGGTCTTGCAAATGATCTGAAACTATTCAGTCTGTGTGAGGCATTCAGGGTACGTACTGCACGTAAGAGTTTATGACTGTGATGAATGGTGGAAAGTCCTCTCACTACTTTTTCATATCATTTGAGAGCTGGATCCCTTTATTTGTCCACATACTGAACTTTAAGAGAGCATGACCTGATCAGGGAACTTCAGACGGTTCGTTTACCAGTACTTCCTGAGTTTCAAAGGGCTACAAAATGGACTGACGGTGACCAGATTTTGCAACTCTGGAGGCAGATTACGTGGAAGTGCTGCTCAACCACAATGTGGACAAAGCACTGGTTGAGCAAACCTTTTTCTTTTTAGAATTTACAGAACGGTCTGACACATAGTCAGTGTCAGTTGGGTCAATGTGTATGCTTAATGGACAGAAACACGCTGAGAATCATAAACCCATTATGACTTGTGCATCCACCCTTATAGCAGCCATCTGTCCCTGGCTACACATCCTCTCTTTGGCATCTGTCTTCTCAGTGATCCAGCTTCGGGGAATGAGCAAAAACTATGTAGTTCCAGATTATCTTGTACTGACAAATATTATTTTACAAAATAAGCACATATCTTACAAAGGGTTGTTTAATGTAATGGTGTATTAGTTAGACACTGTGAGGCTAGTTTCCTTCAAGAGAATAAAGAATTGTGATTGCAATGAGTTATGTGGCATATTTTCTGTATGAAATAAACTGTAGAATTAAAGGGTAATGCCACTCAATTTTTTGAAATGCATGTTCTTCCTTGGATATGTGTTAAAAACGAATTACCTCGATTCTATTCATTGTAATTAGTGAATAGAATTAGTGCCCAGAAAAATCTCTCTTTGTGATCCCAAAGCAACTTATGTTTCTTTTTTGTGCAGTTGTTTTTATTGTTTTATAACTCAAAATAAAAAAGGGTCAGCAAAACACTCCATTTGGTCCACCTTAGTATGTGGTCATACAAGCATCACTTAGAAGTAACAGTAATTCAAATTAAAGCCGCGAGCAGCAGCAAAGGGCCCTCTCACCTTTGTGCACTTTGGGGGTTGGGGTAAATGTCCCACACATCTAGTGCTGACTGATAAATTGTCTTTTCACACATAAGAACACATGGTAAAGATAAACTGAACAAATAAGAAAAAATTATTAAGTTGGGATGAAAACCAAAACCTGGTGATGTAAAGACTTCATACTTCATCAAGCAAAATTCCAAATTATGATCTCACTGTAGCATTTCACATTCTGTCTGCACACTAAATTGTATAAATGTAGTTAAACTTCCCACTACTTTTGTTCGGAGGCATTAGTGAGGACCTCACCCAAATACCATATAATCCCATCAAATATTGCACCTTTATAGCTTTCTGGAGTGTGGCCCAAATGTTCACAAAGTTATGTTATGTTAGGCCCCTCAAAAACATTAACAAGTAACATGCGATGTTTCAATATAGTGTCTGATTTCAATTTTAAAAAAAGTGAATATAGTAGTTCCCTTTTAGATTGAATATTCTTAAATAATAAGAAAACCAGTCGATGTTCAAATATTCTATATCCATCCAAAATAATTTTATACTAAGGCATTCAAAATGACTAATGTCTCAGATTCCTTGCAGCAAAAACCACAATTTATATATTTATTTCCCCTCCATTTTCACAAAAACTCTGCATGTGCAAAGTTTCATAAGAAAACTAATGGTACATTTATTTCATTATTAACATAAGATTATGATCAAACTGTGGATTCACATGGAAATAATATTTTCCCTTGCGCTGAATTCAAAAAGGACAGGAGATGTTGTACCATTAGACACATGCAGATTCTTCAGTGTCAGTAAAAGTCTATTTTCATTCAGTAAAAACTGTTTGTCCTTTCTAACCCAGCTGTTTATAAGCGATGTTTTATTTTTAAATCTAATGTCCTCATTCCTTCACAGGAGAGATTTTATTTTGCCGGAAGTTGACTGTGGTGAACTTCCGGCAGCAACAGCCAGAACACCGGGGGGGCGGAGCTACATCAACCGAGCAGAAGAAGCAGAAGAAGAAAAAACAGAAGAAGAAGAAGAAGAAGAAGAGTCTCCCCCGGTGGAAGCTGGTGATGGCTGCTGTTTAACAAACAGCAAAATCAATCAAACCAAACACCTGCTTCCTGTTCGGTGAGTTCACATCATTCATGTTAAATATCGACTCTTCCGGGACGTTTGTTTCCTTATTTGTTTTTAGCGACATTCGCTCTGAGAGGAGCCGAAGTGATGAAGTTTGAGAAGTGTTGCTGCAGCTCATCTGTGTGAGACAGGAGGGGGTTCTACTGACACACAATGGCGACAGGATTCCTTAAGGTCACTCATGCATCACTGATATTTTACTCTTAGTGCAAAGCTCTGACTTTGTGGTTTGCACCGTGTGAACAAAGAAAGCATCACTCATGAATCATCAAATGATCTTATTAACCAATAACTAATGTCAAATCTCTCCTGACTGCCTCCATGGAAGTCTGCTCACAGAAATGATTTATTTTTTTCATTTAAATGAAACTGAATGGAACTGATCAGTTTGCAGGTTCATCTTGTTTTGTTTTCACTGCTTTTCTTGGTCTCACATCAGAGTCACTTTGATCTGTGTTAGTTTTGGACTGTTGGTCCATTCAAAAATAAATTTAATAGAACCACTTTGTCCTGTAGGATATTGTCATTTGGTGTTTTATGTTTTATTGCTGCCTAATACTGAATATCTGAGATTTGTAACAGTCAGTGAAGAAAATGACAAACAAATGGAATCAATCATTTCAGCAAAAGAAAGCGGTTCTTCTCGTCCGTTAAGCTGTCATCAACACTTGTTTTGGAATTTTTATTACACAGAATTGTAAATTAATAACTTGTTTTTCCTGTCGATCAATGATTAACGTAGGATTAAGGAACCAGTTTGCAGGTCATGTGGTTAATGTCTCCACCAGTGTCCTACAAGGAATTCTGTGTTTTTAGTTCAAAGTCTTCAGCATCTTAAAATGTATCATCATCTTGGATCAGAGCACAAGTTGGCATCTGACAGTGTTTCTCTGCTCTGTGCAGTGTTTGATGTGATACAGCAGCGTCCTGTCCTCACCAGAGCAATGCTGACCTCATCACACCAGTGACCTTATAGTTTGCCATTCCCGCTTCCAGCAAGACAGGCCAGCAGGACCCAGATCAGCCCCGTCATGGCTGCCCGGCAGCAGAAACCTGCAGCTGCAGTGGAACCTAAAAGGACGGACTACAGAGCCAGCGAGAAGAAGTGCTGTGAGTGGTTTGTCTTTCCTCTGACGGTGAAATGTTGAATCATTACCTGAGGCGCTAACCTGTTCTGTATTAATGATTGAACTCTGCACGTTAACTGTGATGTTGTGATCTGATGCTGTGTCTTAATGGTTCTTTAGCAGAGAAAGATAAGGTTACAGCAGCTCTCATGTCAGCTGTGACGTACCTTCTGCCATTGTTAGGAGAAGTACAGTGCATGGGTCTGTTTGCACAAGCATACATTACCACACACACACACACACACACACACACACACACACACACACACACACCTTTTGAAGGAAAGCACTACTGAAAAAGGTCAACACTCTGAGTCAGCCACTGTTAGAGTCACTGAGCTCAACTTAATTATAACTTCACAGTCAGATTTTGAAGAATCTGTTAATCAGAAAATATATGAATTAATTTATTTCACCAAATATGTATCTTGAGCACAAAATGGCTGCTGCCTGTTTGGTCTCAAAGTTTCAGATCTTGAGTCAAGTCTGGTCTGGCCTTTGTTTTGACTTTTTTTTTCCGCAGACACAGACAGAAGAAGGAGAATGGCTGGAATATTTTCCACTGCATGTTCCAGCCAGCACAGGACACAGGATAACTCAATTTGGTTGCTAAGCAGCAGGACTTTGTGAAACATTATCCAACAGCTGAGAGGCGACAGCGTTATGACGAATATTTTAAACTGAGAGTTAGCCAGCCGGTAGATGAACTTTGCATGTGTGACTCTGGATTATTTCACAACCCTCTAACTCCTTTGTGACAATTTGTATTTGTGTGGTTTGTTATTCAAACTATGTAAATAGTGTGTATATCTGGCCCCTTATCACCAACATCAGCTTTTAGAGTTGGGATAAAGTTAAAGTGAGGGCAAATCTGAAACTCAGCTCGCTTAATAATTAAAATCTGTGTTTGTGTATGTGCACAACCTGCAGCTTGGGCTTCCTACATGACCAATTCTCCGACTGTAATCGTGATGATTGGGCTGCCCGCAAGGGGGAAGACCTACATGGCCAAGAAGCTGACACGCTACCTCAACTGGATCGGAGTGCCAACTAAGGGTCAGTACAGAAGCAGCACATGTTTGAGTTTTCTGCATGTCCAAGCATTTGATTTGTTCACAGAAAATAAAAGACAAATAACAAAATGAAATGAAACATCTCTGCTAAGGCCCAACAATCCTCTTATCCCACATTTAAGATCACACACTAGATCAGGATTTTTGTTTGGATCCACAACAAATTTCAGACACTCAGATATCTGTCCCCTGAACACGCATGATTTTTTTTCATCAAGATCCTTGAATTCGCTCCAGCTCGCAATGTTAAAGAAAGAAACAATTCCTTGAGTCGCCTCCTGATCCGGATCCACACCAAAATTGAATGAGTTCTTTCCTGACCCATAGTGCATCCTTTCAATACGTCTTGAAGTAATCTGTCCAATAGTTTTCCTGTAATCCTGCTAACCAACAGACAAAAATGCAGACAAAAACACAACCTCCTTGGGGGAGGTAATAGGTTAATTCTGAATTCAGCACCATTGTGAGGCCTGTGAAATGTCAGAGTGGTTTTACAAAGAAAGCACTGTGTTGTTTTTTAAAGGGACATGTCTCTGTTTTCAGTACAAACATGCAGGTAAAATAGAGCGGGGCCATGATACACACTTAACCTAACCTACAGGAAAACTGATGACCTTCAGGGATATTATGAGCCACACTCCTGTGCTTGAGGCACTGTTGTGTTAATCTGTTGTTATATTTAAGTCTCTGCTCCCATTGCATGGCTCTGTTTGTAGTTGTGCACTTAAACTGTCATTTGAAAGGAATGCAGGTGAACATGTTTTGCAGACGCAGTTGAGATGAAGGTCACCACCTTGACGGAGCTCAGACAGCACATGAATCCCCTCTCCTGTCATTCACTGACTCTCTGGCTTGTTTCTCTTACAGTGTTTAATCTCGGAGTTTATAGGAGAGAAGCAGTGAAGTCGTACAAATCGTACGACTTCTTCAGACACGACAACAAAGAGGCAATGCAAATTAGAAAGTGAGTCATAAAAACAGATCCTCTTTACATTCATCTCTGGTGTAGCAGACTCATCCTCCACTGCTTAACACCTGCTCTGCGTTACATGTATATCATGTTATTATTATTATTAGCTAATGATTTCCCCTGATAATTGTCTTTCCACAGAAAGTGCGCTCTGGTGGCACTAGAGGATGTCAAAGCATATCTGAATGAGGAGGGAGGCCAGATCGCTGTGAGGACACACAAAAAAACTGAAGTGAATTCTCTGTTGATTAATATTTTGTGTTATTTTTAGTTTATTTATCTAACTTTGTTTTCAGGTGTTTGATGCCACCAACACCACCAGAGAGAGGAGGGAACTCATCCTGAATTTTGCCAAAGACAATGCATGCAAGGTCAGAAATTCATTGATGATTTAATCGTGGACCTGATTTTTACACCATTTATGAACTAATAATTGATAATAACGATGTCTTTTGTCAGGTGTTTTTTGTAGAATCGATCTGTGATGATCCAGACGTCATCGCTACAAATATTCTGGTAAATGATGCATTTGTGTTTAGTTTTTTCCTGCTTTGTTATCAGTGACACAGTAAGTCATGGCTACAAATGTCTCTTTCTTGAAGGATGTGAAGGTGTCCAGCCCAGATTACCCTGAGAGGAACAGAGAACGTGTCATGGAGGATTTTCTGAAGAGAATAGAGTGTTATAAAGTCACGTACCAACCTTTAGATCCTGACGAACATGACAAGTAAGAACCTTATTTTTTTGTTAAGAATGTAACTATTTGGATTTTCTGTCTTGAAATTGGTTACACCTCTCACCACGAACACAATCTATGTAAAAGTCAGTCAGAACGTTCTGTTTCTAGTCTCTAATTCTTGTCTGTAAAAACATGTTGTTGCAGAAGTTGTCCTGCAGGTGGACACAAGAGCTAAATCTGAATTCAGACGACTATTGTGCACTGTAATGTCTTTTATTTACTGACACACATTAAATCCAAAACTGGGAATGATTGGACGTCTTGTTGTCATAAATTTAGGTCATAAAATCTGATTGTTTAGAAATTAAACAATCAGACTTAACTTTTTAAACTCCTGCTCACTGGATAAACTGTAGGTGGCAGTTTGTTTTCTTTATTAATCAACTGCTGATATTTGCAAATCCAAATTACATATTATATATGTATTTAAATAAAGTAACTTTCTTATGTTTAATTGCAGTCAGGAGTTGTTGATCTTGTTGCACCTTGTCACTGTTAATGAGCTGAGCTGCTGACGCACAACACTGCAGCATGTGATAAAATATCAGGATATTGTGGCTGCACTGAAAGTACAAGATATTCTTTCCTAATCCTTGTTTCCCTTTTAAATCTCTCCAGCTTTGTGTGTGTGTGTGTTTTTGATTCACTTTCTGTCGTCGTCTTCTCGCTCTGACCGACAGGAACCTGTCCTTCATCCAGGTCATAAACGTCGGCCGTCGTTTCTTGGTGAACAGGGTGCAGGACTACATCCAGAGTAAAATAGTCTACTACCTCATGAACATACACGTACATTCCCACTCCATCTACCTCTGTCGCCATGGAGAGAGCCATCACAACGAGGAGGGACGCATCGGGGGAGACGCTGAACTGTCAGAGAGAGGCAAACAGGTTCTTCCACATGTCCTCACACTTAAAGATATGTGGATGCTAGAAAGACAGCAAAGTCTATAAAAGTCTTAAAAGAATTGTTCAACTTATTTAATTAGTTAGATGAGAAAATGTATAACACACTCGTATTTGTCTTTATATGATGAGGTCTACAAATTGTCTGATACTGATGTCAGCATGAATAAAAGATTCTTGATTGTTTTTAGGGGTGTGATAAATGTGATGTCACCACCACAAACATTTGGCATTTATTTTTGTTCCCTGGTTGCTTGGCAACCTCATGCAGATCACTGGTGAATAAGCATCTCAACCACAGTGTGACGCTGTTACATTTTAGGGATTACACAAAGGAGATTTATCTTTCGTCTTGATCTTTAGAAGTGCTTGAAGCTAAGCTGAGGTTGCTGGCTTCACAATTACTGATTAAGAACAACTCGTCTAAATCTTGGCAACAAAGCAAAAACCAGTCCTTTAAAAATGTTCAGTACAACTCAACAAGCTTTGACAAACTGATTTTGTCCTAAACTTTAAAGTCCTAAACTTTAAAACAACATTCAGGCAGTCTCCATTCACCGATGACATTTAAAAGTATTAATCAATGAAATCATGCTTCTGCAAATCAGCTTTAAAGCCTTTAGGGAAGAGCTATTATACTCTAATATTCATTTCATTTACTACGTAGTTTCTTTTTATGTGACTATGTTTCAGTTCCCCAGTGTAAACGTCCCTTTTCTCTGTCTTTCATCAGTTTGCAGTAGCTCTGAAGGATTTTGCTAAAGAACACCGCCTGTCAGACCTGAAGGTTTGGACTAGCCAGCTGAGACGGACCATTCAGACGGCAGAGGAGCTGGGAGTTCCCTACGAGCAGTGGAAGATCCTCAACGAAATAGATGCTGTATGTCTTCTTTAACGCCACAGACAGACAGATGCACTGTGAGGGCATGTCATAGGTTTTTCAGTGTTATCATTTCTTTTGTGTTTCAGGGTGTGTGTGAAGAGATGACCTATGAGATGATTGAGGAAACGTACCCGGAGGAGTTTGCGATGAGGGACCAGGACAAGTATCTCTACCGCTACCCTGGAGGAGAGGTGAAGGCTCTCCCCTTCCTTTACTCTAACAGTGTTGAATAATAATTTGTGATGTTGCCAGTTTGAGTGTGTTGAGGACTTGTGTAACTGACCTTCACTGAGTTGAGGGTTTGTTAAGCTTGTTTGGGAAGTTAAGTACACTTTTCTATAGCTGCAGGGTTAAAGTTAGTGGAACTCCAACCTTTCTTTCTTTGGCTATGTGGAAATAAAAACATGCATCTGACAGGTAAAGGCTTATTTATACAGCTTTTTCCTATGAAAAGAGATTTGTCCATTTTAATCGATGTAACCATTAATGCCCAATTACATCCTTTGCATTGGCATGGTTGTAAAGCAACATATCCACTAGAGGGCAATGCAGAGTCAAGAGTTTCTGACAACACACGGAGATGAGGTGACATGTACCTGAGCGATACATGCCTGTAGTTTCTTACCAACTTACTCCACCATTATCGAAATTTCCTCCTTGTGTCGTCTTGATTTATCTTCTACATTGCCCTCACCCCACCCCCAATCATTTCCCGTGGTGCGCAGGACTATTGTAATTGAGTGGAGACCACAAATAATAGATTTAATATAGCGAATGTAACTTGAAGTAAAACAGCATAAGAAAGTGACATAATCCGCATTTGCTTGTACATTGTGTGTTAGTATATCTGAACCAAACTCCGTTATTGTGCCTTTCCTCTCTGTCTGCAGTCGTACCAGGACTTGGTTCAGCGGCTGGAGCCAGTGATCATGGAGCTGGAGCGACAGGGCAACGTACTGGTCATCTGTCATCAGGCCGTCATGCGCTGCTTGCTGGCCTATTTCCTGGATAAGGGCGCAGGTTACGTACATGAATGACCAGAAGATGCTGCACATTATGAAGACACGTTTACCTTATTCTGTTGACTCCTCTAGTATAATTTTACTAGAATTATATGATAATTACCACCAGGCAAGACTTCTCCAGAGAACAGTAACTGAGCTTAAACTGGCAGAACTGCTTCACTGAGTAACTCAAGCTCATATTGTTTGAGTGTTGAATGTTTCTGAGGGAGATGATAAAGACACACTTGAGAGATATTAAATGGCCCTAACGACCAATTTACATTTCTAGCACTTTAATGGGAAATAAGAGCATCTGCTTTCATGATACAAAGATAACTAGAAAATAAATGCCTCAGTCCAATTAGCAGATTTACAGAAAGACTTTTGCCAAAGTGCAGATTTTAGTGGCTGAGTGCTTTGTTGAAGCCAATACAACGATAAGGCCTCTTTTTTATTTGGGTTGTTGGAGAATGTCACATGTAGCTCGACAACATTGAGACATTTTTTGTGGCCTTGACTTATATTTTCCCATTTCCTCTGCTTCCACTGTGCACTGTAAAGTGTGACAGCTGCTTGTATTCTGTTAAAAATAATTCGGAACAATTAAATTAATTATCGCACACTGCCGAGCACAGCGTGACTGCTCAAGCTTTATCCTCTATGGATATCTTCACTCATGCACAAGCAGCACCTGAGTCTTCGACAAAAACAATCATTTCTTCTGTGGAAATGAACTGACTGGTTTGATTAAGTATTTTTCAGGTGTCGTCCAATACAGTTTTACAGCTTGTTAGCCTGTTAGCTTGTAAGCTGCGTTAGCTCTCTTCGGTGTTTTTTTACGGTCCAAAGAAGGAAACACTCAAAATGAACACTGTAAGCAGATAACCTGATCACTATAACCAACTTATTTAAACGATTCTGTCCAAAGCTTTTTGATCCATATAAACAGTTGATCACTATATCTGTGATCACCATACCCAGTTTCCACTCTATTCAAATTCAGGTCAGTGCCTTTAGATATCCAAGCTGTATTTATTTAAACAACAGCATCAATAAAGAAAAGAAAAATACAAAAAATGTAATACACCCAGACAAATACTGTTCCGCAAAGAATCGAGGCTCAAAACAGAAATAAATAGAATTTAAAAATTATAACATCAAAAGGCCTGATCCTTAATATGGCAGACAGAGGGGTGCATCAGTCAGCAGAGGAAGTGGTCATTGTTGCAGCATCTGTGTAAATGCTCAATCACAGTTAAACCAACCATTGTGGCTGCAGCTCTGACTGCTATGTTTTCCCACTGGATCCTCCCAGAGGACATGTAGCACCGCACACTTAAAATAGGCTTTTACAAAGCACAGCATGAGCTCTGCAGTAGTTTAACACTGACATCACTAACATGAGCAAAACTTCCTCTGATTTAGAAAATATAAGACGACACAGAAAGTCTCAAGTTATTTTTATTTTCCCTGTCACAGATGACCTCCCTTACTTGAAGTGTCCGCTGCACACCGTCCTCAAACTCACCCCTGTGGCTTATGGTGAGACTCACGACACGGTTCACAGGTTAACTAAATGTTTCCCGGCACATTTGTGAAGCTTTTTTCTCTCTCTCTCGTCCTCCTCTCCTAGGCTGTAAAGTGGACATGTTTGACCTGAAGGTTGAGGCTGTCAACACTCACAGGGACAGACCATTAGTAAGTTTCTTTCTTTGAATGTAATGTAATTTCTGTCTTGTCTGAAGTTGTCGCCGTCCACCCAGTTCACTGCGATGCATGCGTTGAACTCAGGTCAGGGTTATATTCACAAGCTCAAACCAAAATTACACACGGCAGTTTCAGCTTTCTGGAACCAGATATTCAGTCATTCCTAAAGCTTCCCAGGTCCAGATACCACAGCCTAAAGCTCTGTTTGCCCAGAGGGAAATCTTCACACTCATTCTTCTTCTCAGATGAATAAGAACATGTTTACGCTTTGTCTCTTTGAAAAGTGCTTACAGGCAGATTTTGATAGCGATGAACAGAGCTTTGTTTGCTGTTTTCACATTCCCTGGCCTTATTCCTGCTATTCTTATTACGTATTTGGTATTTTGGTGGCAGGATGTGTCTGGCGTATCTGTAAACAGGGAGAGATTGAGATGCACTGGGTGTGTTAGCTGCAGGGATTTACTTCACCAACCAGATAGTAAATATTTAATTTCATAGGATAAACGTACTTAATGGGAAAGATTAAAGTATTAAAGTATGTCTGGATATCCCGTGACTAACTCTCCCAGTACATCAGTATAAGTAACTCTCCTCAGAGACTCTTCAATCCACACCCAGATCCACAGGATCCTCTAAGGGCACTGATTTCATGTTTCTGAAGAATTGATTGGTCAGTGGGTGGAGGTCTTATATAGCTTGATCCCTCATCTCCAACCGTTCAGCATAGGTTACCATGGTGATTTACCCCGAAACAAAGTGAATGAGCTTCATAGGATTGAAAACTCTGAATTAAACCTGAAGTTACCCTGATAACCACAACTCCTGCTGTTAAGTACAGGGCCCATGTCTGTCCCCTGGTTGTCATTTGTGGCGAGGGTTTCAATCCTAGACAGAGTGGGTGTGAACACATAAAGACATTTACTGAGAAACGCTGTTGTTAAATGGAGTGAGAGATATCCTGTCTGCTGAGACCAACATTACAATGGCTTCTATATTTAGTGCTGGTTGTCTCAGTAGCTGTTTTTCTTTCTTTGCCTTCTCACAGTCAGTTACACAGGATACAGTGATTTCAGACCGAGGAGAGATTTAATTAGTCCCACATAAAAAGATGTAAGACGTTAATCAGTCCACGTCGTGTGTTCTTCACTGAGCAGAGTAAAGCCCGGGCAGATGTTGTGCCGCCAGCTTTCCATAGAAGAAACAGCTTCACTCCACTGTCCAGCCAGGACCAGATTAAACGTCCCCGTCTTTATAGCATGGGCAACCCTCCACAGGCCCGCATGTCCCAGCCCCCCACTTTACCCAGCATGCAGTTCTCTGAGGCTTCAGAGGGGGCGGAGTTGCTGCAGAGCCAGGTCAGTGTTGTAAATATAACTGTAAATGATAGTAAAAGAATAACTCATGAACTAATCAGTGAATGAAAAGTCAAATGTCAAATTAATTTAAAGATATAATCTGTAACATTTCTTCATTCAAATGTCTAAAAACAACTTTACTCTTATCTGTCAGTTGCTCATTTTATCTTTCAGAACCTCAGTTTTCCTTTTAACGAATAAAAGAGTCTGACGTCCATGTATTTCTTTGTCGTTTGCAACATCAGTTGTTAACCAGTTTTATTACAGAGTATGTATTTTAAACTATTTTGTCTGTTTCAGGCCTTCATATATTCAGATGTGTGAGATCACAGCTCACATACAAAAACCCAGTTGTGCTGTTGTTTTCCATGTTAATGGATGTTGACCACAAACACCAGTGCCCTTTACAAACATGTTGAATGTGTCGAGTTAGATGTTATAGTTTCCTTGTGTTGTTGCCCACAAAGTTACTTTTATTTAAGTCTTATTTCAGAAACAGGGAGTGTTTTACTTGAGCTGGTGACCTCAGATTTTAATATTAGCTCGAGCTCAGTCAGTGCCAGTCAAAACAAACTGCTCATTCCTTTTCTGGTTTGATGTTTTCCTGAAAGTCTCTGCCTCTCCGTTTGCATCTCGCAGGAGTCTCTGAACGGTTTCAGTGCAGCAGACACAGACGACTGTGTTCACAGTTAGAGGTATTTTCAGAGTTTCCCCTCGAATCTTTAATGTGCAACATCTGAACTCTCCACCAATAATATCTCACAATCTTTACCATTTATTTCAGGCTTTTCTTCGCTTGAATGTCTCACCACTTCTGAGGACCAGCCGTAAAAATCGCTACCAGCTTCTGCCATGACAACTCAAACACTATAGTGTGCACCATGTCTGTATTACAGTATTTATGTGTTGTCTATTTAGTTTAGGGGTTGGAGATCTAAAGAGTTTTATTTTATGATCAATCTTGAAGTAGTCCAATCACAGAGATTGTTATATTTTATGTCATTATTTAGTTTTCTGTGAAGTTTATCTGGCAGCGGTTGACACTTCCAAAGAATATATGATAAATCTGTTTAACCACATCAGGAAGCATTTGACGGAACATGCCGAGTGTCTTTATCTCACCAGGTCCCGAAACATAAAGGATTTTAGTTGACTGACGCGTCGGACCAACATTGAAAAGCAGCAAGCGATGGAAAGAGGTGGCTGAGGCCTTCACGTACATTTGCGTGACCATATTGAAAACTGTCTTTAAAGCAATATTGTGTTTCAAATGGTGCAAATAGAAAAGTCCATGGGCTGGTTTGAGTCTGGATATTCTTGACTGTAAATTTAAAAATCCAAAATTGAGATCACACTTCATGATTGTGTTTAAAAAAGATTGTGATATCTTTGTTTTGTGTTTTTTGTGGTAAAGCTTGCCCACCCGTAGTTCAGTTAATGTTGGATGAGGAATGTGTGTACTGAATGAACTCAATGCCTTTGCACAACAGCCTTCAAAAGTGCTCTGTAATCCAGCTCATATTAATGTAAAGATATGTAGGGACTTTAGTTTGTACAGTAGTTCACCTGTCACGTTATGCTGTATTAGATGTAGGAAACTGTGTGAAGTGTGTACCTCAGGAGAGTGCCTCTCTAGAATGAAACTACATGCAGCCTTATTTAGTTTGAATCTTTCTTAAAATGTACTTATTTCAACATTCCCAGGTAATGTGCATCCTTCCTCTGGTTGTTTTATTTTTAGCAGTTTTTTAAGCATATTAAACGTTAATTCGATTTTTGCCGTCGGCTGGGATAAAAATGAATGAAACCTTTTTTGGCCCCTTTAAATAGTGTAGCAGCTCCAGTGTCTCTGTGACACTTATTCCACTCATTGTCTTAAATGACTGTTGCCTTCAATTAACAGCTTGAACACTGATACTAAACATGCTAATCTTATTTGAACTTTACAAAATGGATCGATATTTCAAACGTTAAATGATAAAGTTTTGAGTGACTCGGGGTATTTATTAAGCTTCGATGCCACCTAGGTTCTTCGTGTATAACTTACATCAATTATCTATACCACAAGAATACTGTATACTCAGTACTGCCTAAATAGTATCCATATTGATGACATCCATTCATTTGACATTTATTCCTGATGTTACATGTAATCTTTTGGGAAAGTGCCTTGCAAGGCTGTGACAGAAGTAATCAAGATTATTTTAACATGTACGCTACATGAAATGACAAATTCTGTGGATTGGCAAAACATTCGGATGTTTCTAAAAAGCTGTAATGTTATTGCACACTGTTGTGTATGTGTATCATTAAATGAAGATCAGTTTAAACTATTCTTACATGGAGTTTTGTTTTGTTCAGAGTATTTTGACCTCACTCATACACATTACATAAACAAAAACAGCTCATCTCATGAAATCGTTCAAGTTCATACAGAAGAGAAACAAACTATAGTCTTTCTTTAACAGATATTGGGCAAAGCACCAGATTTTAAGGTAATTTATAATAATTAAAAATTCATAACACATTTAGTTTTCCCGTGTCTATGCATCTGTTCATATCCCATTCTCGTGAACACTCTGAAAAACCTTAACCTTCTTCAAACTTGGCACAAATATTCACTAGAAATCATAGATGAAATTATGATATTTTGTTGGTCGAATGTCGCTCTGACATCACATGATATTCCTGCAAAAGGTTTATTCCACTGTGACATAATGTTCTGGGCATATCTAAGACCATCACAGAGGAACAGAAGGAAATATTGTGACCACATTATGACACAGTAACTGTAGTTAGAGATATGGAGGAGGAGAAGAAGGAGGAGAAGGAGGAAAGGCTCAAATTATCAGTTTTTATTTAATCTGCAAGTTGCTTTGACGTCTGAAATGATCTCAGAGTGGAGTCAGATAAAGAAGCTGTGATTATTTCCTATGACTTGAGCAAAAAATAGGCCACGTAGATTTAAAAGAAAAGAAAGTTCACCTGTGGGAATTTGATCTCCACATTCATGTACTCTCTACTTCTCTGGAGCAGTACAACAGATTAACATACCAACCATATCACCAGCATGCTTCTCCAGTTTAACTCCCTGAATCCAGTCTTCATGTTGTTCCCACAGGTTTAGTTTAGTCGTCTTGTGTTGTATCAATGTTTTTTGTCCCTGCAGCTTCATGTTGTTTACTTCTTGTCTCTGATAGTGTGGCTTCAGTCTGCTGTGCCTGTGTGTGTGTGTGTGTGTGTGTGTGTGCCTGTGTGTGTGTGTGTGTGTGTGTGTGTGTGTGTGTGTGTGTMTGTGTGTGTGTGTGAGAGAGAGAGAGGGAGAGAGAGAGAGACACCCCTCCTGTATAAATGACTCCATCTGTTTAATCCCCTGTTCATTTAGTTTCTCACAGGACACAATCATGAGGAGCGTCTGCTGGGCAGCTCTGGGTTTATTCTCTGCTCTGCTCGCTTCAGGTAAATTTCCCCCTCAAATAAGAAACAAAACACTGAATGTGATTATTTCTGATATTGTCCATTCATGGTGGTTGATCTTCCAAAATAAAAGCCCAGATGACAAAGAGATGCTCTGCACCTCGGGAGCCGCCGCACACCAGGCTGGAGGAGAAGTTCAGCCGCAGACAGAGCTTCAGCAGCGGGGAGAAGGTTCAGTTCAGCTGCGCAGAGGACTTCAGTCCCTCCAGAGGAAGCGGCTCTGTGCAGTGTCTGGGAGGAAGATGGACCAAACTGACTCTGAAGTGCGAGAGTAAGTTAAAGACACAATTATTATCCTCTGATGTGAGAAATAAAAGACAAATACACTGTTAATGTTGACTTTACGTCATTCAGTTTGAGAAGTAGCTTAACGACCCCTGGCGGCCTGATGGGTGACCTGCATGTAATTCTAATACTTGAATTTAAGGACAACCAATATTTAACATTTCCTTTTTTAACATATGCATTACAAAAGGGATGGCTATTTTTACAAATTTGTATTTTATCTTCTATAAACCTAAATATTAACACAGGATTAAAGGATGTGGTTAAAACTCGTATAGCCCAAATTCACAAATCACAATTGCTCTCATAGGGCTTAACAAGGTGCAACATCCTCTGTTCTTAACCCTCGACAAGAGTAAGTAGAAAAAAAATGTTCTACAGAGTCGCAAGTGAGGGATCCCGCTCCCAGGACAGACAGACAAATTCAAATCAGTAATTGAAGAGTCCAGAGGAGNGTGTGTGTGTGTGTGTGTGTGTGTGTGCTTGGATTTATATTTGACAATGTCTTCAGATTATGGTATCCTTTAACATGTATATAACATGTTAAAGGCCTGTGTATGACAGGGGAATAGAAATAAGTGACCACCATTATCTAGTATGAAGTTATCTTTATAGGGTATTTGATGTTTAATAGCAGAATTAGTTTTTACTTGTAAAGACTAATTTATTTCCAGGATCCTCATAGATATGAAAGAAAATAAGGAATATCTCCCATTATAACAGGGAGTTGTCCCAGTGTTGGTTGAGTTGGAAGGTTGTTTGCATTACCTTAAGGCACTTTACGTTGTGAGGTCAAGACCTTTAAATATTCAGGTAATCAGATTGATTATTTGCCCCTTCCATCTCTCTCTCTCTCTCTCTCTCTCTCTCTGTCTCTCTCTCTCTCTCTCTCTCTCTCTCTCTCTCTCACATTTCTTACAGAGAGATCGTGTGGAAGCACCAGGGATCTACAGAATGGACAGTTGTTCTATGAAGGGAATTCTTACGTCGGGGAGAAGGTTTATGCAACATGCAATGAGGGGTAAGTCATACCTGAGGACGCTCATATAAAACCTGCTCAGCTGTGTTTGACTGTGCTGTTCCATGTTGACAGATACACTCTGAAGGGACTGAACTACATGATATGCAAGAAGTCTGGATGGACTGGGGAATTCCCGACATGTGAAGGTGGGCAGTGTGATTATCTGAAGCTCAGTCATGTTCTTTACACACTGTGGTTGGCAGAAACCTCGAGGTGATTTAAACTGGGAGGTATCGTGTCTGTTAGAACCAGTCCCTCCCTGAATGTGACGCACAGTGACGCTGTTTTAATGATTTAATTAATCCCTTAATTCACTATGTGAATAAAGCTGTGGAAAGTGATGAGATGAGTATGAGTAATTCAGACTAACGTCACGTCAGTGTTTAGTGATTCTGTGATAAGCACATTCTCCTGCGTGTGTGGCAAGGCTGTAAGTTTCTGATTTTCTCAGAACGCCTCCAGCAGAGTTGTGTCGTCTTCTGTAATATAAATTTTTCACAACTCCAACTTTGATGTTCCTTTAACTTCACAGTTTGCTTTCAATATTTTCAAAGCTTTAAACCTTGAGTAAGTTAAATAATACAATTACCAACAGAAGGATGGAACAAAGTACATTTACTTCAGTACAAATTTTAGGTGCGTGTACTTGAATATTTATATTTTCTACCTATTTGTACATGTCTCAGAGAAATTTTTCTACTTTTTACAAAACCCCAATAAACTGCTATTTACACATGCATGTATATGTGTAATGAGTATTCTCCTGTGTGACGACTTTCACGTTTGGTACATTTAACTGATTATATTTTGATGTGGGACCTTTTCTTTTTTTCCATTGTTGTATTGTTACTCGTTAACTTTGTAAAGCAACTGGATTTCTGTAACTAACCGTGCAGCACAGCAGGTTTGCTCCTTGTGTTTAAGTAAACGATCTATTCAGGAGGATCAGAACCACATGTCAATAACTGAGATTATTGTCTCATCAGAGAGGGCGACCACCTGCTCCCCCCCTGCAGTGGCCCAGTCTGTGAAGGCCGGTGGGAATGTGTCTGTGTACCAGGCGGGAGATAACGTGACCTTCACCTGCAGTCAGGGTTTCCAGCTGGATGGAGCTCCGCAGGTCACATGTGGCCCCGGTGGACGGTGGCAGCCTGGGCTCCCTCGGTGTCTGCCTTCGGCTGAAAGACCTGATCAGTCCTCTCACAAAGAAAGTACGTTTTCTTCTGGATGAAGAATTATCGCTAGAAGTTATGTCTATTTGTTTGTTTGTGACCATGAGACTTGATGACAGGATGAAGCATGAGTCAGGAAAGAACCCATTTAATTTGGCACATATCTAGATGAAGGGAAGAATCCTGGATTAACTTTTCATTTCCTAACTCTGTGAGAGAGGAGACGTTTTATGACATTTTCACCAGTTTCCCAGGGAATAATTCATGGAACTTGAATTTTTTTTTTAAACATATTTCATTCATGAGCCTTTTCAATTTGTTGCAGATCCAAATACAAATCTGGATCCAGCGGAATTAAGCATGTTTGTTTAGTGTTTTAAGGCTTTTTACAATAACAAATGAGACCACAAACCTGTAACTACAGTCAATGTGTGGGTGAGATGATGTGGATTCACTAGAAAAACATCTGAACTGACGCTTTCCTCTCCAGCAGGAACATGTGGCAAACCGCTCCCCATCAAAAACTCCAACGCCAACCTCGCTGACAAGTATATCACCATGACAACCTTTGCGTCCGGTAACAGAGTCCAGTACACGTGTGACGTTGGATACGCTCCAACTGGAGGCAGCAGATATCGCACCTGTAGGAATGGGAAGTGGACGCCGCTGTTCCTGAAATGTGAACGTAAGAACTTTTAGATTATTTTACAGTCAAACCTTGGTTTAAGGTTTTGAACATTAATGAGCAGCTTATCTTTGAATCCTAATGTCATGAGCAGTAAAGTATTGGATTCTGATAAGAAAATAAATTAAATTGGCATAATACAATTTAGTTAACTTTGTTCAACAGTTATATTAAGACAAATGCTGACTTTAATTTATTTGTGTATTACCAACCGAAGCAATTTTGTTTGTGGAAAGTTGATGCAAAATTTTTCCTTTTTCAGTGTGGCTCACTTGATGGAGGAATATGTAAAACTGCACCATTTTGTATCATCTCCAATGCACACTAAAAACATTGATTACCAAGTAGTAATACCACAAATACTTTTTAGTTTTTAACTTAAAAAAATCAATTCATTACTAAAATAATACATTTTTAGTTGGTTAACATTTTTCTTTTTCGGTTCAGTGGACATAAATATAGAAACAATATTTTTCAAGTTCAAAATGTCCTGACAAATTCTAAGATTTCTTTCTGTTGTTGTTTTCAAAAGCAAAGGAGTGTGGCTCTGCAGGAGAGGTTCTGAATGGACTGTTCACGTACACTGGATTAGAGTTTGGAGACACTGCTACAGCCGTCTGTAATGTGGGGTGAGACGACACCAAACAATTCAACTCCTCTTTTATACTGACTCTTGTTTTCTACATATTTAACTCCTGCCTTCTCTTTTTATGTCCTGTCCGCAGGTATATTCTTGTCGGACAGGCAACCAGGAACTGTTTGAGTAACGGCTGGGATGGACGTGTTCCTGTTTGTGAAGGTGCTGTGAACAAACGAAAACGTTTTCAATTAAAAAAAATTCCTGAATCTCTTTGGTAATTTTTTGCATCTCCTCCAGCTGTGGTGTGTGCGGAGCCTCGAGAGGTGACAAACGCACAGAGGAAAAACTTTCAGGAGCCACCGTACATGTACAGGAGTGTGATTAACTATCAGTGTCCTGCGGGATCTCTTGTTGGACAGAGGGAGATCTGGTGCACGGAGGACGGGACGTGGAGCGCACCCCCTCCTACATGCAAAGGTCTGAGATAGACACAGACCTTTTTTTGTACAACTTTCCTTCTTCATCATGAGAAATCATTTTAATTTAGCTCCCTGTCTTTGCAGTGATGACATGTCCATCTCCAAATGTGGCCAGCGCCTTCTGGACGGGCGCTCAGAATAACCTGTACCAACACAGGGACACTATATCAATCGAGTGTAACCGAGGCTACACATTGATTGGCCCGAGCACCGTTACCTGTGGTCACGATGGTCGATGGTCCTCTGTTCTTCCCAAATGTAGACGCGCATGTAAGTAAACAGCTATTTGTTGAAGAGACTTGATGTTTTTACTTAAAGGTTCAGTGTGTAGAATTTTAGATATCTAGTGTTGGAATTGCATGTTGCAGCTGAACACCCCTCACCTCACCCTCTCCTTCCAAACATGAAAAAGAAACTGTGGTAGCCTTTAATTGTCATAAAAACTCAAAAGGTGTTTAGTTTGTCCAGTCTGGACTAATGTAAAAAACATGGCGGCCTCTGTAGAGAGGGTCCCCATAAAGTATTTGAATATAAATGGCCTTTTCTGAGGTAAAGAAAACTAGAATTCTCAAATTTAGATGAAATGAACTAGTGAAAACATCATGAGGATTATTCTACATTCAATTTCAGCCAATAGTTCCCTTTCACCTAAATCTTACGCACTAGACCTTTAAAGACATTTTTAAAACAGTAACATTTTAATGTTTTTTTCCTCAGGGCGTCAGAGCAACCGGAGGTATTAAATCCAGAAATTCGACAGCAGTCAGAGGAAGGTGAAAATAATATCAAGTCATTCCAAAAGAAATGCCTCGTTCTTGTAAACCCACATTTCAATAATGCACCAATAATCGTATTTGCTCATGAAACTTCATATAGAGACATTAAAATGTGTTTGAAATGAAGCTGAAGTACAGTTTGTTTATTTCAAGAAGCGTTCTGGGCAGCGACAAGTACAAACTTGTTCCATTCACCTCTGTACATTTTTTTTTTCTTTACAGTTGATAATGTTACTGTATGTGTATCATCTCTATAGACTAAACGGTGAGTGAGCATTTCATGGACAAACAAGCTACAAGAACATAAGAACACCAATTCCATTCATTTAAAAAGACAATACAAAATCCAGACATTTTTTTTTTACATGAGCAATAACAATTCAAGTGCAAATATCATTATCAACTCTATGATACATCATAGCAAACTCTTGTTAAAAGGCAACAATAAAAACAAAAAACTACAGGTTGCAGGAAAAGGTGATGATTTTGGTCGGGAAGGGGGGGGGTATGGGGGAATGAGGGCGTGTGGGCAGCAGCACTGGGACGCTGCGTGATGACGTCTGCACAGAGAAATACAAGTAAAATCAGTATTTAAGCGAAAAGTGTATAGAGGGGTTTTATTTTTTCATGGCTTGGGCCAGCATTGCCCTCAAATTTGACAATGTGGTCAAATTCCCTTTGTGTCATCCTACAGCTCAGGTACACGATACGACTTGTACCATCGCGAGTATTTTTTTATTTACATTTACAAAACATCCTCCCTGAATTATTATTTCGTTATCAGAGAGTGAGCGCCGACTCGATTTTTAATTTCTTTCGAGGGTTGAAGGGGGTGGGGATTATCATTGTCACGTACTAACCATGTAGCCATCTGCACTGATGACACTGATATTAAAGGAGTAGCTCAGACATTTTGGGAAATTTGCTCATGCACTTTCTGGCCGAGACTCCCGTCACCACTGTGCTCGATCAACTCTCCCGTAAAAATCACACACTAAGAATTTATCAAATAAGTCAAAAAGTCAGAATGTGTTAATTGAGCTTAAGAAATGTGGTTTGCAGAGCAAGGCTAGTTTCCCTCCATTTCCACTCTTTATGCTAAGCTAAGCTAACTATCCACCAGCTGTGACTTCCATACGGACGTGAGATCAACCTCCTCCTTTTTCACAAATGCCAAATTCTACTCCTTGACTACTTACATGAAGCAAAGTGTCAGATTTTACTAAACATAAATTATTTCACCCTGTTTTGGTCGCTGTTTTAATTTCACAACATATATATCTACATATTTTTAAACACATCAAATACCTTTTTTTTTTTAATCACATTTCGACAGACTTTGTTTTTTTTTATTTTGCTCATTAAGAGTAGAATGGAAAATTCTGTCGATTCGAGAATTAAGTTGAAATATTGTGAGGATAAAGTCGTAATTGTAAAGAAAGTCATAATATTATGAGAATAAATAAAAAGGAATAAAGGAAATCAGCTGCTATGAGAAGCTGCATTCCACTTCGTCTGGATCCAATCAAACTCGTTGTCTCTTGAAACACTGTGAAACCACTTCAGATTTAACCAAAAAAACAAACTCGACCACCACACACAAGAGACAATTTCCTCCAAGTCCATGTCTGTGTGCTTCTTTCTTTAAAAACAATCTTTTTAAAATCCTGATACATATATATGTTCTTATAATGTGGTGCTGATGAGCCAGAAGATTATTTTGTTATTTGTGAATGCTTTGTGAAGATGCTCCCAATTCCTCATTTTAAAGTCGGCAACACTCCCCCTCTAACGTGACGCGTGGCCTAAAATATGTCTTTTTAATTGTCATAATTTTACGACTACATTTTAAAAAAAAAATCAATCTCAACCTGATAAAATTACGACTTTATTTTCGTAAAGCTCACAACTGAATTCTCCAACGATTTTCTTTCCCTTTAGGTTACCATAATACTTTGTCATATAAGAGAGACACGATGAATCCGAAACCTCTTCTGCCCATAGCGACGCATATTTAATACGAGTCTCGACAAGACTGACGCCCACTTCAAACAACCTTTTCACAACCGTTGTGTGGGTCACAACAGAGCGTAACCAAAGTTAAAGGTGTTGTCTTCTGTCGTTCATTGCACTTGTCGTGAAAAGGTAGGATGACGGGTTCTAAATCTAGTGCACAAAACAACTTGACCTTTCCCCTTTTTTGGGGCAGTCTTTGGAAGAGCTGTCTTCATTGGGACAGAATAAAATGTGAGCAGGGTGAATGGAAGGGCGGGCGGGGCGGGTAAGTACTAGGTGTCTTTGGATTTGAAGACGGGCGGAACATTAAAGGGTGGAAAGAGTGTTTTTTAGGGTGGGGGGGGTCCTGCGTAAACAAATTAGGATTAAAGAATTCAACCCTCGTCTAATTTATTTTCATTATTTACAAGATTGTTGAAAAAAACAAAACAAGATAAAACTGGAAATCCACTGACAGGCAATGTGAGATTATCAATTTATCAACTGTGTGTGAGAAATAAAATGTTTCAGATTCCGAGCTTCCGCTGATTTTAAAACCTACAGACTATTAGTGTAGAGTAGATCAGAAAGACAATATGAGATTGAAGAATTAAAGTGACCTTTTAAAAGAAGCAGCAAACATAATGTCCCTCAAAGACATTTCTCTCTCTCTCTCTTTCTCTCTCTCTCACTGAGACATGTTCCACCATACATCACATTATCTCATTTCTGTGGCTCTCACTATTATTATTAGTTTGTTATTCGTCTCCCAAATGATCGCGGGTGTTCCTGGAATGATATTTGCTTTTTAAGTTGGCTTGTAAAAGAGCAACAGACGTGATTTCAAGGTTGGAAAACGCCGGCGCGGTCGAGTAAACAGACGGAACAAAACACAGATGAACTGTTTTAACAGTAAAACTCATGGAAGTCGCTCTAAGAGCTCAAATATAGTAAGGCTTTAAATGACCTGGAATGCAGCTGCGACATGAGATTCAACAACGGCTCCTCCTCGAGGGCAGCACACAGACACTGAAGGTGGAACCAGGGTTACACAACACTTACACAACACTGACACAGTCATACTTAATGGTAGAGTTGGAGCTGGAACTCAGACCACTCATTTAAGCAAATACAACAACAACAAGCTCTATCAAGCTCAAACCGCACACAAAACATCACTCCTGTCTGAAGTCAGCGTTTCTATTGTTTTTTTGTGTGTGTGTGTGGTTTCGTTTCACAACACAAAAGAAACCAAACCCAGTCACACACTCTACATCACCACTGAGGGTTTGAGCTCGGGACTGCAGACCTGTGCGGAACGGAAACGGACAAAAAATTAAACCTAAAACACAAATAATGTTCTCTTCAGGTCTGCATAGTGTTTATTGTCAAAGCCTATGGAAAATACGAGAGGGTAAACACGGTGGTATGTTTTGTGTTTCATTTTCTTTCTTTTTTTTTTTAAAGCCCTGTGAGAGTAGCGGGATGTGGCCTGTAAGGCGAAGGGGGGATGTCGGGGGGAGGTCACGATCCAATGCGCCGGCGGCCGCGCGACCTTTTTACTTGTATGGTCGCAGGAAAGCGGAGACTTTGCTGCTTATGAGACGTATGAAGGAGCGGGGAAGCATCTCGTTGGACTCCCGAGTGGTGTACTTGAAGTAGTTGTTTGGGTGAGCCAGCACGTCAAAAAGAGTCTTAATCAGTTTTTTATCCTGTAGAGAAATAAAATGATGTGTTAACTTTACACAGAAACACACATTTCCATGGTTATGATTACATGTGAAGCTATTACACTATGCGAGGAAATAAATGACACCTTCTATATGACATTAACATCTTATTATTACTATTATTATTACTATTAATGCACTCATGCAATCATGCAAATGAATGGTTGATTAATCTGATGATCATTTTCTTCATTGATCTCATCCCGAAATATATAGTTAAATGTAGGAAATCAAAATACTCAATTAAAATATATAGGAAAAATATCAAAATAAACCAAAAATGTTCATAACTACATCAAAAATAAAACTAACAATAATCAGTTAATCATATAGAAATATAATAGATTTAAACCTTATATTTTCACTTAAAATATGTAGAAATATATCAGAATAAAACCTAAAAAATATTCTGATGATATACATAGAAACATAAAAAAAACTAAATATAGTGTTAAGAAAATATAAAATTGCAAACCTTGAGGATTTCTTGGTGGTTTTCTGAAGCATAGAGTCGTCCGTCTCGCACTATGTCCTCTACAAGCTGTTCATAGTCCTCTGAATTCACAAACACATGGGAGACAACACAGGACACAATAATTAGCCACCGTGTGACGTGCTGAAAGACATGGCATGCACATACAAAACAGGCTTAGTTGGTAAATAATATAATACACAGGCATGGCCAAAAAAACAACTGCAAAATGTCCTTCTAACTGCATATCTTATTACAACTCTTAATAAAACAAATATCAAAAGCCTGCGAGCCAAGATACTGATTCTGAAAAACATTGATATTAATAATCTGAAAACCTTGACAAAGAGAAAGAGTAAGAGGAATATTGGTATGTGGTCTTTCCAGAGCTACAGTCTATAAGGTGATAATAAACTTGTCATATTTAAAATGTGTTTTATAAAAATATTAGTAGTTAAAAACAGCGGCTGCGATAAATGGGCGTGTCTCATACCATCATAAGTAACGTAGGGGATCTGGAAGCCCCTGGCGCTGTTGGCCTCATTGGACTTGAAGTTAATCCACAGACGTCTGGAGCGAGCTGTGAAGGCGATTGGCCGCTCGTACGTCTGACACGTCTCATAGGTGGTGATGGATGTAGCTGACCCTTGCAAGGGCACAGACGAGACAACGGTGACTAAACAGGTTTTCAGAAGCGTTCCTTACATGGTGCGCTTTCTTTTTAACAGTGAACTGAATTTGGACGGAGAGGACACTCACAGTTCTTCCTCATGACCAACACATCTCCACACTCGTCCTCGGAGGGCAGGAAAATCTCAGGCACCACGATAAGGATCTTGCGTTTGCTGGGCGGGTTGATGTTCCAGATACACTCCACGTTGGCAGGGTAATTACCGGGGTAGTTTGGTGACTCAATGTAACCCATGAACTCGCCCATCTCTCCACCGCATTGCCTGTCTAGACGTACACAAACGAATACACATTAGATTCCAGCTGCTGGTTGAGAAATCACACCCAACCCTAAACCGTCACTTCCACACTCACTCTTGCACTGCGATACACTTGTGGCACCATCAAAGTCCGTGGTGGTGTTCCCTGGGCAGGAGATACAGTAGTTCTGTCTAAACTCTGTCTGATAGGTCCCCACAGGGCAGCGGATGCACCGGTGTACTGTGGTGTTGTAGTAATGACCGGGAGAACACTGAACTGCAGGGTGAAGTCGAGGAAAAACACATCAGTGGGTGCAGCTTTGTTGATTAAAAGAATATATCTTCCTGCCTTTTCAAGAAGAGCAAAAGCTGACCTTTGACCTCGCAGTCGTGGAAGGAGCTGGCACCTTCCCGCTTGGTGCCCAGTCCTCCGCCACAGGGGAAGCACAGGGTCCGTCCCAAATCTGGCTGGTAGGTTCCCTGAGGGCACGGCTGACACGGTTTGAAGCCATCGCTGGAGAAGGACCCTGTCGGACACTGGCCTGGATTCGATTTGAAGAACACAGAGTAAGTTTGCTTAGGACAGCAGCTCTTAACTCCACCAGAAATATACACCTCGTTAATATTGTCTCTGGGACTACCTGCACAGGAGGAGATGTTCCGTGCCCCGACAGGCCCATGGCCGTCGCTGCCAGGGCAGAGATCACAGGCCAGCTGCCCCTCCCTCTCCTGGAACGTGCCCGGTGGACACTGGATGCAGCGCTCCTGCTCTCCGTGGTAATACGACCCTGACAAACATCTGACTGAGAGAATATCCACAACGCATCCAATCAGAGATTCAAAAACATTAATGCAAACCTTTAACTATGTTTTGATTTCAGTTTTCTTCACGACCCTGGCACAGATGATCCATCAAACATGAACTGTTCACTTTACTAGATGCACGTGAACAATCTAATGCAATTCAATGTGTAAATCCAATTATACATTTATTATCATAGAGATCATGGTTACAGTGGGAGTTGAATATATTTTCTTGAAAGGTGTTTTAAATGTTATTCTCCTTACGAATAACATCTTAGAAAAACGTCTGAATAAAATGCAGTTCTCTTCCTCCACTGACTATGACCTCACATCTCACTGTATAATTGAATTACCACTACGTGCTCAGTCACAGGAACCGGTTTGGCATCAGGAGAATAGACGTCATGGCAGAACAGATGAATTGGAATTGGTCAGTAAAGTGGATAAAGAGCGTATACTTCATATCAAAAGACACTGTATTGCAGATGATGTGTTTTTTGATATTAGATTAAATTCAGAGTCTGTGGTTATACTTCTCACATCTAACAGATTTTGCACTAAAACAGCTGGTTAGTCAGCCCTGGTCCCGCTCCAGGGTCTTACCACATCGGCCGCTTTCCCTCTCCCAGCCCGGGCCGCAGTTCTCTTGAATGGGAGCAGCCTGGGGAAGTTTTTGGGCGACCTCGTATTCCAAACCAGCGACTCGGATCAGGAAGCGCTCCTGGTTGATGGACTTCTTCAGAGCTTTGATGTACGTCTTCACCTGCTTCTCCATGCGCTGTCTCAGGCAGCTGAGATTACAACTGCCTGGTTTTAGGTACATTAATGAAAAAAAAAAGAATAATGACTGAAATCTGTGACACAATACAACAGCCCTGAGGTCAACACTGCTCTTCTGAGTGACGTGACTGACCTGTGGTGTCTCCAGGTTTGACCTCAGCCTCCAGCTCCAGAGTTATGCGAGTTACCTCTTTGTTAGACGGGTTACGAGCACGTCGTCCTTTCGCTTTCTTTGAGGAGTCACATTTGAGGTTGACAAATGTTACGAGGCAGTTGCTGCAGGGCTGCCCCCCTCCTGTAAACACATGATATCACAGTCTGTGTAAGAGCTTTTATTTATAGGTTAAACATTTGTAGTTTCATTAGAGCAACACCTAATTGATTAATATGCTGATTATTTTCTTCATTGATTAACTACACATCTCTTTTATTAAATTTCTCATAATTTGCAAAACAACA